AATGAGCACATTTCTTTTTTGGACAATGTCACCCCTTAATGTACTTTAAAACTACATACTTATTGTTAATTTTTAAATTAAATTATACTAGTCAGATAGTGTTATCTTGTATGTTACAGTTCTTTGAAGTTAATGAAGATTTCCTCTATAATCTATTTTGGAAATATTTGTTAATTAAAATATATACTCTCTATTCATTGGGGTACAGTTATCTATCCCTTAGCTCATCTGTTAATTTTATTGTTTAAATATAGTAAATGATTGTTAAATATATGTGTTCTTTCTATTTTTGATAAGTGTTAAGATCTTTTACTTAAAGTTGTAAGCTTGTTTGTTTCTTATATTCCATTTCCAATACCAGTTTGGGGTGTTTATTTTGAGTCTGTCAAATGGAGGGGACACAGGTGTTTGTTAATGTCTTTTTGATGATCCTCCCGTCAGTGTTCATCATTATACCTTGTACCCCTATGCTTCTGCCTTAGACTCTTTGTCTAACATGAATGTTTTTTCCGCCAACACTGACCACTGCCACTCAGATGCCCTTTTTATGTGTTGGTTACAGGTGTGTCTCCTGTACATTAAATATAGCTGGATTTTAAAAAGCAAATAATCCATTTTAATGGTTTTCTTTCACCTGTTGGCATTTTCACATAATTATTGGTATAGCTGGACTTGTTTTGTGCCATCTTATTTTTCAAGTTTTAAATTTTAACCATTTAAGTTTTTTCATGTAAATGGCAGCCTTCCATTTATTCTTCTCTGCTCCCTACTTTTAAAAATTGTGGTAAAATAAGTTATTACATAAAATCGATTGTTGGAACCCTTTGTAAGTGTGTGATTAAGTGTTACTAAGACATGCGCAGCTGTCTGGTGGCTCACACCTGTCATCCTAGACGCTCAGGGCTGAGGTGAGAGGGCTGCGCGCTCAAGGACAGCCTTGGCTGTACAGTGAGACCCTGCCTCAAAATAAACAAATAAAGACACGCTCCATGTTGACAACTCCCACCGCCATCCACTTCCAGGTGTTTCCATCAGCCCAGTCCCTTTCCCTGGCTCCTGGGTGCCTCTGTTCTACTGTCTGTCTCTGAATTGTCTCTTCTAGCAACTGCACATGAGTGGGATCACCTATGTCTGCTCTTTTGTGGCTTCTGTCTCCAAGCTACCATCGTGTGGCGCCACGCATCAGTGCTTCACTCATTTTTCCATTGTTCACACTACATTTTACAATATGTTCTGTTGGTGGACACGGGTTGTCTCCAGTGCTGCTGTGAACATTGGGGTACGTGTCTGCCTAACCTGCCTTCAGTTGTTTGGGGTACACCCAGGCGTGATTGCTGGGCCTCAGGATCATTCCAGGCAGAACATTTTGAAGAACCGCATTGTCTTCCACAGCAGGGGCACAACTTGCACTGCTGCCTGGAGCACATGGTCCACCTTGCTTTTCTCTTGGCTTCTTTTTGCCTCACAAGTGATTTTAGAAATCTGCACTGATGGTGAAGCAGGGGAACGGAGGTGAGGTCAGTCCAGGGGCTTGCTTCCTTCCCTAGGCGTGGGTCAGACAGGAGGGGGCCTCCTCAGGCAGGGCTGGTGACACGAGGGAAGCGTGTGCTAGCAGTTTTTTACCCGCAGATCTGTTCATGGCACAAATTCTTTGGAACAGCCATGATTGTAGGCACAGGGAGAGCACCAGTGAGCCAGTCACACAACTGCGTCCAAGTACTTGGCAGGTGTGTTGAGAAAGTGTGGCAGTGAAGGGCTTTGCCAAGACAGCTGCCCAGAAGGTTCCAGGCAGGGAGACAGCAGGTGCAAAACCTTCCCTCTGACAGAGAGAGGGAGTAGGGTAGCTGGACCTCAGACCAGAAAGGCAGCGGTCCTGCTCACTGTTTACATGACGCTCCCCAACTTGCCATGGGTTGTGTCCCAGGAAACCTGGCACGAGTTGAAACTATCATAGATCAAAAACACATTAAAGCTGGGCACCAGTGGCTCACCTGTAATCTGAGGACTCAGAACTCTTAAGATTTGAGGATCGTGGTTTGAAGCCAAGCCACTAAAGTCTGTGGAATTTTATTCTCTCTCTCTTAGTTTACCTAGGTGTATCTAGATCACATATACAGTTTTAAAAACCCATTTATTGTACAATTGTTATGACCAAAAGTATTTCTCTGACAATGTTTCTTCATTTCCTCTTCTTCAAAACCTTCAGTTCTTTTAATGTTTGCCTCAATAACCCTAAGCAATGGGCCTGAACCTCCCCCTGGCACCCAAATATAAAGATGCTACATCTAGGTTGAGTTCACTACTGTGTTCAGTGCTAGGTATGAGCTTACATTACCTTTCCCCTTCTTTCCTAGAGCTCTCTATTTCTGGAAGTCTTTGTTTTTTATATGGTGGGGCTTCTGGTCCGACCTGCTGCTGCCGTCTATCAATTTTTATGTTTTATTGATTCTAGTTTATGTAAATCTTAAAAAAAATGTTCATCTCTGTGATCAGTTATTTTCTAGAATATCTTCTTTAGAGGCTGTGTTTCCTAAGTGTCTCGTTCTTACTGAGGAATTCAGCCCTGGTTTGATCTCCTCAGGCCACAGGCGTGTCTCCCTCCTAGCTTTCTTCCCTCCCATCCCCTCAACAGCCAGTGCTTCTGTAGCCAGTCCGTCACACTGGGAAGTCCCTTGCTTGTCTGCTGGCCTTTGGGGGGTGACTCTGCTCATGTGAAGGGTGAAGCGTGGGCTGACTGGGCAATTCAGGGTGACTTGTTGAGGCTCACAGTGGCTTCAGGGTGAAGGGATGCAGCCATGCTAGGGAACCCAGTGTCAACCTCTCTAGGTATTTTCTCTTGGGCTGGTTTCACCTACCTCTTGCCGGAATTTCAGAAGCTGAATAGGAAAAGAAACCTAGGGCCTCGCCTCCTGCCTTTTTCATATTGCAGCACCCCACTCTTCCATCATTGTACCCAGAGATGCTTGCTAAGCTTTGCCACGGGGTGGTAGGAATCACCAGTGCCAGGTACAGAGAGGGCTGTGGACTCGGGGCCTGCTGCACAGGCGGTAACCCTGGCTCCTCTGAGCCCTTCAGGTGTACCCCCTCACCGCCCCAACAGTGCCCAAAGCTGCCTGGTGGCTCTTCCTGCTGATGCAGGGCTTCTCCTCTGCCCTTCGCGCACTACAGCACCCAGTCCCATGCCCACTTCCCACCGTTACACTTCCTGTCACTATCTCCTCCCTTCTTTCCATCCTGGCAGCCCACGAAAGACCTGTGTGGTGCCCCAAAGATCAACTGTTTCTATTCTTGCCTTGCTTTATTTTTTTTAAGTTTCTGAAACTGGGACTCAAACTCAGTATCTAATGCTTTCGCTCATTGGCTGGTGCTCTACCACCTGAGCACTCTCAGCCGCTCCATTCTTCCCTTGCCTGTTTCCAGTCCCCCAGCAGGTGGCCCCCTTCAGGCATCCTCATTTAGATGGGGGTACTCTGGCCTAACTTACCTTTCATACCCCAAACTTTGTCCCCTTTCTCCTGTCTAAACAGCTTGTGTGTAGGCAAGCTCTGAGTCTCCGGGGAGCTAGGTGCCAGGACTACCTAGGCCACAGGCTCGCCTCTCTGCTGGCCTCTCTACTGGCCTCTCTGCTGGCCTCTCTACTGGCCTCTCTGCTGGCCTCTCTGCAGGCCTCTCTGCTGGCCTCTCTGCAGGCCTCTCTGCAGGCCTCGCTACGGGCCTCTCTGCAGGCCTCTCTACTGGCCTCTCTACTGGCCTCTCTGCTGGCCTCTCTGCTGGCCTCTCTGCAGGCCTCTCTACTGGCCTCTCTGCAGGCCTCTCTGCTGGCCTCTCTGCTGGCCTCTCTGCAGGCCTCTCTGCAGGCCTCTCTACTGGCCTCTCTGCAGGCCTCTCTGCTGGCCTCTCTGCTGGCCTCTCTGCAGGCCTCTCTGCTGGCCTCTCTACTGGCCTCTCTGCAGGCCTCTCTGCTGGCCTCTCTGCTGGCCTCTCTGCTGGCCTCTCCTGATCGCGGTTCTCCTGCTGCCTTGACACGCGTTTAACCAATATTATGGAACACTATGAATTGTGCCCGAGACCCCCACCGAGGGTTCTGCAGACATCTTGTCCCCCGAGTGCCAGGCACAGGGTCTTCCTGTATCCACTGTGGTGAGGACATCGGTTCACTCAGTTCACCGTCTGTGTTTCCCCCACACTGGCAGGCTAAAGCCAGATTCCTTCTTCCCAGGTGATCACCTGTAGCAGACAACGTGGGGAGCAGTGGCAGAGCTAGAAGGTCGATTCCTCACACTCTTCCCTTCCTCCCCACAGACGGAAGCCGAGGAGTGGCTGGTGGGCTTCCTGGCACTGCTGGCAGTGCAGGTGTAGGCAGGGTCTCAGGAGTCCCTATCTCAAAGCTGATGTTGGGTGTTTTCCCACATTGAGAAAAGTAAGCCCAGCTTGTGGCTACCTCTGTGTGCAGCATGGGCATCTGATGGGGAAGTGGGACAGGAGCCACAGGGTGCGTGGACCTCCTCACAGCGTTGCAGTCACAGGGCTGTTAGGAGGGATCTCCAAGGGTGAGCAGCCCTTGCATGACCCATGCCTCACCCAGGCCTCTCCTCCTCCTCTCCCACTCGCTCGGGGATCCTGTGTGTCTACTCTTCCCCTTCAGTTATTCTTTGATAAACCCTACTCACTAGCTTATGTGCTTCAGGGGAAATGACAGGACACTGGGGCTGGAAGCCGTGGACGACAGCAGCAGCGGACATCTTCCAGGATGTTGGTTTAAGTTTTGCAAAATCCTGTGTTGTACACCAACAGCTTTAGCTAGTTTCTCTTTTTCTGACTTAGACACAGCAAGACAGTATCCCTACTGATCTACTTTTCATATACACAAGAAGCCAGAAGGCAGCCCCTGAGTGAAGTTGCTGTGCGGGCGGCATGGTGCGCTCCCTTTCCTGCCTGTGTGCCTCCTCCCTGGCCTCCAGCCGCTAGGCCTGGAGCTCACACTGCTGTTCTCTTCACAGGTACTGCGACTGCTTTGCCAGTGGGGACTTTTGCAACAACTGCAATTGTAATAATTGTTGCAACAATTTGCGCCATGAAATCGAGCGGTTTAAAGCCATTAAGGTAATCAATTTTAAAAGCATTTTAAAATGTGTGAGATGTTCAAGCCAGCAAGCGCTGGTAGCTCAAGCCTGTCATCCTAGCTACTCAGGAGGCTGAGCTCTGAGGATCACAGTTCAAAGCCAGCCTGGGCAGGAACATCCATAAGACTCTTTTATGTCCAATTAACCACCAAAAAAAAAAAAAAACCCCAAAAAACAAACAACAACAACAAAAAATCCCTAAAACCAGAAGTGGCGCTGTGGCTCAAAGTGGTAGAGCACTAGCCTTGAGCGAGAGCCCAGGGACAGAGCCCAGGCCCTGAGTTCAAGCCCCACGACTGACAAAAAAAAAAGTGATGTTCATAAAATGATCTCCAGAGATCCCTCATTTCATTACTGGGAAAAGCCAAAGTGTTGAAGAGCACATTCATTGATTCTGATCCTGTTATTGGCATGTGGTACCATTTCAAGGAACAGGGAAAGATCTTTATCCCCGCCAGCACTGGGTAGCTTCAGGATTCTCATTCAGAAACACGTACAAGTCTGCTTAGTTTGGTTTGAGGTTTGGCGCCTTGGGCTGAGTAGCTTGAGTGGTAGTGGTAATACGGGAAAGAGAGACCATCCTCCACAAAGACACCATCACCAGAAGCAGGTGAAGGTTAGTAACTTTTCCCTTTAAAAGTAGAGACTCAGTCCAATTAACCACTCCCAAACCAGAAGTGGTGCTGTGGCCCAACTAGTAGAGCACTAATAACCTTGATCACAAAGAGGCTCAAGGACAGTGCCCAGGCCCTGAGTTCAAGCCCCACAACCAAAACCAACAAGAACAAGAATAAAAAGTAGAGACTTCACTTAAGGTCCTTGACCTTGATTACAGAATAAGAATTTCTGGACAAGTCACAATGGTATGAAAACTTGGCAGAGCTTTAGTGAGTACGTAAGCAAGCAGGTAAGCAGACGGACAGGCAGGAAGGCAGGGACACACTCTGACAGAGTAGTGCTCTCCAAGGGAGAGACACACAGCTCTTTGGCTGTCAGGAGTGTTTATGTGGTAAAGTGGGGAGTCTGACTTAAAGAGAGGAAAAAATAGGAGTTTATCTTTGTTCTCAGTCACTCTTGGTGTTATTTCTAAGTTTTTGGCTCTTGTTTACCATTTGGTTGTTTGGTGTTTTGGGGAGCATTTCTGTCAGGAAGGTATACACCCCATCAAATAGCTCTCAGGAAGGAATGCATCATGTTGTCTCTCTTTGAAGCAAAGATAGTGCTTCTGTGTTTCCAAATGCATGTTTCTGAGTTCCTTTACCAGGCCTCATTTTCCTCAATTTATCCCACCTCAACACGACACACTCAGCCTCACATGTGAGCAGCCGCAGGTGGAGGCAGGAATGGACTATCCGTGTGCTCAAGACCTCCCTGCTGGAGGCTCAAGCCGCTGGAGCCTGCCCGTACTCCTTTGCGGGAACAGGCAGATCTCCATGGGGAGGGGGGACAGCCAGGAGCTGTGGCCTCTCCAGTGAGGGCCCGAGCCCCGCCCCTGCACATGGGACCAATGGTGTGCCTTTGCTCGTTTGTTTATTTTCCCTAAAGTAATTTCTCTCTTGAGTTATGGGGTAATCACTCAGGATATTGATTTTGCTTTAGCCAGACCCATATGACAGAGGAAACTTAGGCTGCATCTAAGTGACTTCAGAAGAGTCACAATTTATTTTGAGGTAAAATATAGAGCAAAAGTTTTATTTTGAACGTTAGAATTTCCATGCATTGCTGATAGGACTATAAATTGGTATGGCTACTTGGAAACATGTTTGGCAAATAGCTAGTAACAGGTAAATCTTTGTCTAGACTATGACCCAGCACTTGCTTTCCTGAAGTTATAGGCAGGAGCCAGGGGTCAGCAGCTCATGCTTATAATCTGAACTACTCAGGACGCTGAGATCTAAGGATCAAGATTTGAAGCCAGGGGGCTGGGAAGGTAGCTCAGCGGTAGAGTGTATGCCTTGCAAGCATGAGGCCCTGGGTTCGATTCCTCAGCACCACATAAACAGAAAAAGCCGGAAGGGGCACTGTGGCTCCAGTGGTAGAGTGCTAGCCTTGAGCTGAAGAACTGAGGGACAGTGCCCAGACCCAGAGTTCAGGCCCCATGACTGGCAAAAAAGAAAAAGAAAAAGATTTGAAGCCAGCCTGGGCAGGGAGAGTCTGTGAAGCTTTTATTTGCAATTAACCACCTAAACGCTGTGGGGAAAAATTGGAGTTGTGGTTCAAGTGGCAGAGCACAAGTCTATCAAGTGCAAGGTCCTAAGTTCACACCCTATGTCAGAAAAGAGAGAGGAGGAAGGAAGGAAGAAAGGAAAAGAAAAAAGAAAAGAAAGGAAAGTAGGAAGGAAGGAAAGAAAGGAAAAGGAAAAAGAAAGAAAGAAGGAAAGAAAGGAAGGAAGGAAGAAAGACAGGAAGGAAGGAAGCAAGGAAGGAAAGGGAAAGGGAAAGACAGACCAACAAGGATAAACCAGGATGAAATGTCATGCTCACAAGACTCGGGCAGCTCAGTGGGGAGCCCTAGGCCCTAGAAACCATTCCTGGAACCCGAGGGAAACAAACCCACCCTGAAATGGGTGGTATGCACTACAAGGGAGGTGTGGTCCTGTGATTTTAACTTGGGCACTAGGCTGTGCTGCTCTCTGTGGGTTAGCTGGCCTGTGGGTGACTCAGTTTCCTTATCTGTAAGAGTGATAAGTGTAGCACCTTTTACCTTCCAAGATTGCTGCCAAAGCTCAATGAGAAATATCAGTCACAGAGAAAGGTGCTGGGACAAGGCGTGTTCAGTCACGGCCTGGGACATGCCCATTCAGTCACGGCCCATTGGTGCTGGTCTCAGTGGCCTTAGGAAGATGGTACAAGATGTCTTTGGAGAGCTCCCTCATGTGAGCAGTGATCTGCTCTGCATCCTTATTGTCTGCATCTTTATTTTCTATGGTAAATATGCAAGAGTTTGAAACTCAGAAAAAGGTATTTGTGAAGAAACTGTGGCTGCATCAGGCTCTGTGTGGAAATGGATGGCAGCGACAGGGAGCATGCGCGTTGTAGCTGCGCCAGGGGCTCCTTCTCCCCGTCTGTGCTCCTCATAAAACAGCAGCTGGTTTAGCCGAGTCTGAATCATAAAACACTGCTTTATTTTCTTTTTCAATCTTTGTGCGTGTGTGCGTGCATGTGTGCATGTGTATGTGTGTGTGCATGTGTGTGAGTGTGCTGGTCCTAGGGCTGGAACTCAGGGTCTGGGAACTGTCCCTGAGTTTCTTTTGCTCAAGGTTAGCGCTCTACCATTTGCACCACAGCTTCATTTCCAGCTTTTAGGTGGTTAATTGGAAATAAGAGTTTCACAGACTTTCCTGCCCAGGCTAGCTTGGAATCTAGATCCTCAGATCTCAGCCTCTTGAGAAGCTAGGATTACAGCCCTGAGCCACCAGTGCCCGGCTTATGTTTATAATTTTTTTAAGACAAGGTATCACTATGTAGTCCAGGCTAGCTTTGACCTCGTGAGGCTCCTCCATGAGCTGAGTTACAGTCACAGGTCACTGCACCCATCTATGAATAACAGTCACACAGTGTTTCCCATTTTCTCTCTTAGGCGTGCCTTGATAGAAATCCAGAAGCTTTCCAACCCAAAATTGGGAAAGGCAAGTTGGGTGATGTCAAGCCAAGGCACAACAAGGGCTGCAACTGCAAGCGTTCGGGCTGCCTGAAGAACTACTGCGAGTGCTATGAGGTGGGCCAGCGCCCGCAGGGCCGTGAGCGCACAAGCACACACTTGGGCCTAAGAAAAACGTCACCGCGTCTATAAAGAAACACAGGCCCTTTCTTCTTTACAGGCGTTCTGAAAGGCTTCTCGCACTAGTTCAAATTAATTTCTCAACTAGGAGCTGAGCTGTGTGTTGAGAACATGAGCTGAAAGTCCTCTGGAGTCTGTGCTGTTCCCAGAGCGCCCTGTGTGTCCAGGGGGAGGTCCGCAGCTGCCCGGGCACACGCTGGCCTGTGCGCCATCCACCACGGGTGGCTTCTGGAGGTGGCGGTGCCCCCTCCATCCTGAGCAGGGACAGAACCCTCCCAGTGTGGGCCAGGGCATCCTCATCCTCCGTTTTCCAGGGTAACTCCAGCGTGTCTCACCACTGTCTCAGAAGCCAGGGTGGAGGACTAGCCGGCAAAGCCAGCACCTGTTCTTGGACAGAGACTTTTTTTCCCTTTTTCTTTATTTTTTTTTTTAGGTCTAGAACCTGATGCTGTTGCTCACTGGCTGGTGCTCTACCACCTGAGCCACACCTCCAAACCCAGAGCTTTTATGGTGGTAGACTCACTTGCTTTCCTCTTTTATCTCCCTCTTCTAGAAAGAAAAACCGAGGGGACCTTAGGCCCTATAGGAAGCAGTAAGGAGCTACCTGTTTTGCCAAACATCTTTAGGGATCTGTGGCTTTTCTAAAGTTGTTCTAGAACCACGTGCAGTAGGTGCCTCTGTAGGTGCTATAATCCTCTATAATACTTGGCAGCTGAGGCAGGAAGATGGTTAAGTTCAAGGCAGGACCCTGTCTCTGAAGGAAGAAGATGTTTCACACAATCGTGCTGAAGAAGGGTCTTGGTCATTCTGGAGACGCAGGCTGTGACACCGCAGCCTGCTGTGTGAAGACAGAGGAAGGGCTTGTGAGTGACCGGAGAAAACACATGGAGGTAGCCTGTGAGCCGCAGGTTATTGAAGCTCACAGCAGGAGATGGCTTACTAGCAAGGCAGTGTTCCCTGACTGGACTAGGAAGAGGCCCTGAGGAGCACCCAGCACCCAGCACCCAGGGCTGCTCAGCATGCCCTCAAGGAGCGCTCCCTGAGCCCAGTGATGGCAGCTGACCTAGAGCACTTGTCCTTTCCCTAGTGTAGGGAAAGGACAGGGTCGACTGCACCTGCAGTGGCAGCCCCGACCCAGCCA